TTCCCTCTAGTCTTACACTGCTAAATTAGGGACGGTTAGCGCAGATAGCCCTCGTGTAGCTTTGCGCGAAATTCAAAAACAAACAAACAAACTTACTTTGCATTAAATGAATATTTTGTAAGAACAGAGAACTTAAACGTATATACAAAATTAAATGTAAATTTATGAAAGAGAGAGAGAAAAAATCGCAGCCACAATACAAACATCCAACATCATAAGGTAGGCCATTATGTAATGCGCTCTGGTTTTTAGAGGTAATGGCGAGAGGTGGTAAAGATATGGGATGTTGTTGGCTAGAGCATCCACATCTGCTCATTTTATTTATTTTTTATTCATGTTAGGCCATCAAAGTTTAGGTTAAACTAGATAGACTGTGTGCCCCAGCGCAATTTGGGTCTTACTTCCGCCAGTACCCCTAAATACCAGGGACACATTACATGATGACCCACTTCATGATTTGTGCCCCGGTGTTGGATGTTTGTATTGTGGCTGTAATATCTTCTTGTCTCTCTCATGAACTGGTCCGACATAGCCAGGTGGTTAGAACACTCGGCTCCCAATCTGAGGGTCGCGGGTTCGATACCTCGTCCCACCAAACATCCTCACCTTTCAGTCCTGGGGACGTTATAATGTGACGGTCACTTCCACTATTCCTTGATAAAAGAGAAGCCCAAGAGTTGGCGGTGGGTGATGATGACTAGCTACCTTCCTTCTAGTCTTTCACTGCTAAATTATGGACGGCTAAAGCAGATAGCTCTCTTATAACTTCGCGCGAATTTCAAAAACAACCAATCAGCTACACAAGCATCTAAACCCTGACACAGAACCTCTACCATGCGCATGTGATAAACAACTTAATTTAATAAGACTCAATATTTACCTAACAAATCAAGTGATTTTCTGAATCAATCGTGTGCTTTTGTTTCTTTTTTTTTTTTGATAGGTTCAAATTATAATCGATTTATTTACTGTTCTTTATGCAGATAGTACTCGTGTAGCTTTGTACAAAATTCAAACCAAACCAAACCTATGAGATATTTCTAAAATTGGAGGTGACTTTTAAGTTCTGTTGTTTTATTTTATAACGATTACAGATGAGTAAAATTACGTATCTTTGTTTAAGGGTTGTAAGGGTTGTGAAAAGGTTTATCTTTAAGTGTATGTTTATCACTGTTTTGCAGGTATAACTATTAAATTGTAGTCATTTTTTTGTTAAAGGGTTTGAGTTATGATTCTTGTAAGTCTTCGTTAAACAGTACTTTAATTTTTGAAGTGTGTTGTATTCTCTTTTGTTTGTATTTGATTGTGTAAATATGTAACGTATTCCTTCATATATATTTATATGAAGGTTTACTTTTTGGGTTGTCAAACAGTTTCGACTTCTTGTCTCTTTAAGTTGCAGGATATAGTTGACAATATTATGTGTTCTGTAAAATGATTTAAAAATCGATCATACTTATCAAGGGGTATTTTTATTTGATTATGTATTGTACACTGTAAATATGATTTTAAATTGTGTTGCAGTGATGTCAAAAAGTTCCGTCTTTCGTTACATATCTATGTTAAAGGGTTTTCTTGTATGATCAATGGTTTGAAGTTGCATTTTACATTATATTATGGTTACGAAAGTAAAATTTATTGCTATTAAACGGTTTAGTACTGATTGTTACCAAAGAGTATTATAAGTCAAAGGATACCCATCCTCAGTGGCTCAGGAATAAATCTACCATCTCACAGTACTTAACAAAACCAAACGTCAAATAACTTTTGTTTTGTACTGTAATGTCCTGTTTTGAGAAATTTAATATGTATTTGATCTTGATTAAAGTGTTTATTTTTCTAGTGAAATTTTATGGCCTTGTGGTTAGATGCTGGACTCGCAACCTGAAGGTCGCGGGTTAAAATCTCCGTCACTGAACATGCTCGCCCTTTCATCCGTGAGGGCGTTATACTGTGACGGTCAATCCCACTATTTGTCTTCTCATTGGGAATAATAGTTTCAGAGTGATTCAAGGTATGTGAAGCTAAGCAGGTACCTTTTCCACTGATGGTCAGGTGATATTCTTGAAGTAATGACCTTTCCTGTATTTCACTGGGAAAAGAATAATTACGTGAGTAATGCTAGTTGCTCTGGTAAGTCTAACATTAATGCTTTAAGTAGCCAATATGAAAATTATTCAATCTGAAATACGACTCCAACAGAATAATTTGTATTAAAGTCTTAGCAGAGTAGACTGAAATTCAATGTAGAAGAGATATCTTGGAACTTGAGATCACTGAGTTAATACTATTTCTCTAGTAAAGGCAACTGTGATTAAATTTGCATATATTTTCAACGTGTTTGTCTTAAACAAAAATTACTCACTGTAGCTATGCATTTATTTATCATGACTTCGGTAGGCAGAAAAAATAGGCTTAACTCAGAGTCAATAGCTTGTCGAATCTCTCGTCATTAAGTGGACCTGTCTTGTCGCTCTGTGTAGAATCAGTATGATCTGAAAGTACCACAATTGAATCTGCAGTTCTCAATATTATTATGAAATTAATAAAATTATATTATTTTGTTAATTTGTCGTTCACTTGATGACACACGGATTAGAATTCTGCATTTTCGAATAGCTTAAAAAATGCAATAAAAAGGAATGAAAATCGTAATCAGTCTCAGTACTACTGTAAGCAAGAGAGAATCCTCAATAGCTGCGGAACTTGAAGTTCTTTAAGGCAGAATTAGAGTAACTTAATCTATAAGACCGTTTTTTGTTGTTGTTTTTTTCTTTTTGTTACCTATAATTTTTTGCGTCTGCAATATCAAGCATGGGACGCCCGTATACCCGATTCGATTTTATTACTCATCAGGATCTCTACCAACCTACCCTCAAATTGAAATTCTTTTAGGATAAATTAATCTATGAGACCTTGGGCGTGGTCAAATACATCAACCGAAAGGGTTTGACCTCAGGTGTACAAAACTGTTATTAGATCTCAAATCGACCAAGAAATGATAATGATGGAGCTATGAGCTAAAAGTTTGTACTTAAAAAAACCCACAAAACTCGAGCCTTTCTATAAGCCGCTACGTAGCGGCTGAAAATTACTCAAAATTCAAAAGCTTATATAAAGTCCGAAAAATAACCGCAGTTTCCTGAGAATTTGTAACTTTGCTGGAACCAACCAGTGTGACTCTAGATCCATACAAACGTTTAAACATCAAATTTATATATTATATTCTAGTGCTCTATGAAGGCAAAATGATTAAAGCATTTTAATAATAATAATTAAAATTATGAAGGTAAAATCGTTAATGTATTTGATTATGTAAAAGTAAAATATATAATGGTTTTATTGGGACCGTGTTTTTAATTTCTTAGCACCAAAAGAATCGTCTGTCATAAGCACGAATATGTAAGTAATGCAACGCGTACTAAAAAAAAACACATCAAAATTCAAATAAATAAGAAAATTTCCTTCAGACATGTAATACTTATTTACATTTACTCTTGAATATTTTTAGGTTGATAGAGTATTGCGCATACACATAAAAATTCTAAGGAACATTTTACTACTCTCATATCCTATTTTGTACCCTAGTTTTAGCTGTCTATCCTTTATGTGTGACTACCTATCTTTCGACCTTGTTTTGAATGTAAAAAAATAATCATAATTTAGATATTGAAACTACCATGCTTCCCCGTCAATTTTTTATTATTAATGGTACACATAAATATATGTATTTTGTATTTGAAATAAAAGTACATTAACGGCGATTGATAGAAAGATTATACTAAATCAGTGACAATAAAATCAAGTATGAGGTGCATGTGATAATAAATTAAATACTCACTGTTAGAAATAACTATGGAAACAGTGAATAAAATGGATGTAAAATGTAAATATTTCTCACAGTTTATTGTATGAAACAGAACTACACAGGCTTCAGTCACGTTTTGCTAGTTTACACTACGATTGGCTGACATCCAACAAAGTGTCACGCCAGTTTGTTTGTTTGTAGTTAAGAGCAAAGCTACACAATGGGCTATCTGTGCTCTGCCCACCACAAGTATCGAAACTCGGTTTCTAACGCAGATATACTGCTTTGCCACTTGGGGACACCACACCAGAATACTCATAAAAGTACAGGCAGTCAAACTATTCCCAACAGGAATGCACTCATGACTCTCAGGGCAAAAATGCCACATGACAGACGTGTAAAAATAAAAGTTGTGACTGATAAAGTATACTTCATGCAACAGAAAAAGGCGAACTTTTATGTTTCTGTAGGATTTGCATTGACACTCTGAAGAAGGTACGTGAAAATAGTAATGTGGATAATAGAATCAGTCGGAATAAACAGCCCAATCTCTTCAAAAGTTATATTAAGTTAAACAAAGTACGCTACTTAAATGCTAAAAATCTAGTAGAGATCTTTACTGTGACCAAGGTGTAAGTATTGGTATAGATAGTTACATCCAAGACAGTAAAAGCAATTATTGCTGAGGAGAAATAATGAAATATAAAAGTCAAAAATTGGAATCAGCCTAAAAAAATGGTTAAGCAAAGTTTATAAATGGTGATATTGACAGATAAATTCAAATTCAGAGTGTTTGGCAACAATCAACAATTTTTTTTCGATAACAAAGAGAAGAATGGTATCGCGGTCAACAAACAAACAACATAGGCAGCAAAACATTCTGTAGGAGCATAACTAGCGTTAGCTGTATTGCAGCCAACGCTATTAAAAATCTAGATATAACTGATGACACCTTGACTGTTGAAAAGTACAAAAACTTTCTTATCTATCGTGTCATTTCTCCAGGAGCAAGTTCTATTGGACAGAGTTCATATTTGAGCAAGACAGTGATTCAAAGCACTGATAAAATTTGGGAAAATGACACAGAGAAAGGAAAAGAGGCCAATAGAACACTTGCAATCAAGACTTGGGCCTTATACATGAAATTAACTTCATATAAATATTAATTTTTGCAGGAATTATTTCTATTTTGTTAGACATTTCCCCCCTTTCTATTGCTTAGACTTTAACCTCTGTTACTATATCAATTATTGTTATTGTACTTATGTTGATGTGTGTAATTAAAATATGATTATTTTATTATCTTTATTATCAACTTACTAAAACCCTTTCCCCCCTCCCTCGAGAATCATACTCATCCAAATTAATATTTATATGTTTCTGCAAGATAACAAACAACACATGAACATATTCTGGCATGCAAAATGGGTTATTATCCCTTATAAACTTAATATATTGTACATGTATTTTTGTTTTAACAGGATTTTGCACACCCCATGAATATGTTTCTTTAGGTAACCTTTATTTTGAGGTTAACGAAAGAATAAAAAGATCCACACTGTTAAAGATATATAATAATCATAAACCTCTAATGACGAGGAAAGCAACCAGTGTTACAAAGTTATAAAACTTATTTTAGGTTAAAATTTAAACCCTACTCTTTATTCTATGCAGGTTAAAATCTTTATAAGCCCTTCTTGTTAACTATCCTTTCCATTATCCAACTGCCTAAAAATAAATAGGTTTCACTGATCATGCTTGCTTGTTTTGAAATCAACCACAAAGCTACACAATGGGCTATCTGTGCTCTGCTCACCACGGATATCGAAACCCGGTTTCTAGCGTTGTAAGTCAAGAGACATACCGTTGTGCCACTGATCATGAATATATAGTACTTTTGGTACTTTCGAGCCCAACGTGTATGTATAAGTATCGAAATAAAGATTTTGAAGTTTTTAAAGAAACGATTAATGTGTAACAACAAATTTTCGCGGTAATTTAGTCAAGCAGTACATAGAATTATTTTATTTCACAGTTAACTTCTGAGTTTAATAAGTTTATTTGATGATTAATAACCAATCTATGTTAAAACTCGAATGGCAGACACACACCATGAATCAAAACAATACTTTCTGACAAGTTAACGAAGTGGAAATGCAATAAACGAAGGTGGTACAATAAGTTTCAGTATACATATATATGCGTTAAAACTCTGTAGATTTACTCTCGCTGAGAAAAAAAAATGTTTTTAAGAATTTAATTATTGCATTAGGTAATAAAAACGGAACGCTCTTACACGTTCCGTGTTTCGTTTGTTTAATTAATCGCAAGTAATTCAGGGAAGCATTAAGGAATATATATGTGAAAACATGCATATCACTTCTGACATGAATACTCACTTATTTCAAATGATAAATTTTATCACCTCAGGATCTATTAAAGACTCTTTTTTAAAAAGATAAACGATGACAAACTCCTTGATTAATATTGCAGCACTAAAAAGGGTGCTTAATATTTATTGGAGTATTAATCAACTGTATTGTGCATAGAATACTGATGTCATCTAGGCTATAAAAGATAGTGTTCAACTCCATTAAAGATAAAAGTGACATATTTACACAATTAACAATTGTAACTTTATTGTACTAAGAAGAAGAATTTATCCAACAAAATGCATATTTATTGTGTGTTCATTTAGCATTGCATATTATATACCGTTTCTTCTAAATGACAAATGCTCATAAAAGCATTTGGTAATATTTTCTCCTTTGGTGTGATGAAGTTTCCTTGTTTCAGAGAATTAAATATGACCGGAAGATTTTTATTATTCAGAGCCAACTGTTATATCTAAGGTATTTTGTCATCTTAATACGGTCCGACAAAAAGTCAAACAATTGGTAAGCCTTTGTTTACTGATCATCTGACAGCACCAAACCTTAGTACCAAGCAAAACAGATTAAGTTTGAAGTCTTTGGTACAAATGGATGCAAATGGAAAGGCACAAAGGAGATTTACTAATTCGTTTCGTCTAGTATAAACAAAAATCAAAATGTACACTGTTTCTTTAGGGACTGTTGGTTTATTTACGAAAACGATTACATTTTTATGCTCTAGAGAACTGAAACTGGTTTTTAAATGAAGTTATTGGGATTATTTACTTAAAGTTACGGTTTTGTTCCTTAAAATACTGACTGTTATGTCGAAACTCATAACTATTTTTGTCTGAATTACAGAAATATTTTAAACATACCCTCATACAACAATTTTCTTTTTTTGAATTACATATTTTAAACATATTTTCAT